ATTCAATATTCCATATTATCTCTGTCTCTCTCTCTCTCTCTCTCACACACACACACACACACACACACACACAAAACAGGTCTTATTATTCCAACTTCCATCAGATCATTCGGTTGACTTGTCGCACAACCCCACATTGTCTTCAATTTTCCAATGCAGTAAACACGACCAAACACATCGCAACGCAAGGAAAGAGAGCAGAGTATATCTACCGTTAGCTCCATGTTTCAACACGACGCTCGCCTATTGCAAACATTTATTTAAGATAACGCAATGCATTGTACATAAAAAGACGTGCTATTGCAGTCGGGGGGAGCCTGGGGCGGGGGGGGGGGGTCAGGAATAAATGCTATATACAGTAACAGGCGTGTGGACACATATATCGCTGCGATCCGCATCTATTCACTTGAACTTTGTTTGATGTTTCTCTCCAGAAATCATAATCCTGTGAGTTGACAAAGCGCCTGTAACGTCAAAGCTGTTCATTCACAGTTAATTGCTGTGTGTAGTGACTGTGTATTTACCAAGACACCGCGGTGACACTTTCTAAACGGGAAAGGCTGCCTTAAAGGAGTCTTTTTTTTTGTCTCAAACGCGCCACTGTTGTCAGGTTAGAGCAGATTGCTTTTCCTCCAAGTCGAAAAGGAGGGGGAAAATCTGCTTTAGCACAGAACATGTTTTCTGGGGGTAAAAAGGCACTGATAACATCACAATCATACAGACAGACACACACACACAGCAAACACACACACACACACAGCACACACACACACACACAGCAAACACACACACAGCACACACACACACAGCACATACACAAACACACACAGCACATACACACACACAGCACACACACAGCACACACACAGCAAACACACACAGCACATACACACACACAGCACACACACACAGCACAGACACACACACAGCACACACACACACAACACACACACACACACAGCACATACACACACACAGCAAACACACACAGTACACACACACACAGCACATACACACACAGCACACACACACACAGCATACACACACACACAGCACACACACACCACACACAGCACACACACACACAACACACTCAAATACTCAGAATCACATACGCACTTTGCATGCAACACAGTACGATGTCTCTAAATAGATATTTATTTTAAAAAGTTGATCAAAAAGCTGACAGTGAAACCGTTGTTTTTCTTACTGCAAATCTTGATTTTAAAACTGTAAAACAAGCTGCAATTGATGCAATTTTCTGAATCATTCTGCGCGCCCGATTTGGCCTGGATATTTATTCTGATTGGAATCAGAAGGGAACAGTGAGGGTTGAATGGTTTCTCAGTGGTGATGTGACCTGTCCAGAATCACACAGTCACTGCATCCTGAGAAGCACTTTGAGACGTCCTCCTTACATTAAATGCAAGGATTATTATTATTATTACAGCCATATAGTTTGCATTTAAAATTGGCATTCATATTTAACTAGTATATATTACTGTTAGGTAGTAAAGGATAATATGCGTAATATATATTACTGTATGCAATGAAGATCACCAAATTGTTAATTTTCCAGCAATGTACATATCTAAGAGGAATTTTACAGTGTGTTTTACCAAGAATATTTCTTTATAAATTTACTGCATGTTGATAGGTGTAATTTTCTAGACACTGACTATAGTGTGCATCAATATGTACAGCCTATGTTAACAGTATATTCAGTAGGTCGACGTAGGATTGTTAATATATATATATATTTAAACCAGAGAAACCCAGATGAAGGCCAATGTCTTGAAAATTAGAAAGAGTAGGAGAGAATATATGATAAAGTAATGAGTGATAGGGCACTATATCAAATGCAAGGATTATTATTATATTATTGGATAATGCAAAGCTTGAGGTGTCCAAGCCTGTGTGAGAAAGAGAAAATGTGAATAAAATAAGGAACTCTATAGTATTTGAGGTTCTGAGGGAGAGTTATTTGGAGACAAAACAACACACAAAGTATTGAGTTCAATGCAGGGAGAAGCAGGATTTACAACAAGATTGGAAACAGTCCTCGGATTTAATATTATGCCTTGTCTCTTCTTTGAAACATCTAAAAGCTGTTTGTCCCCAAAATACAGTCAATCCACTTACTATATTCTGTAAAGCACTTTGAGATATTGCAACGATGTGCTAAGGTGCTATATCAAATGCAAGGATTATTATGATTATTAAAAGTACTTTACAGGATTTCCTATAAAGTATAGTGACGGTGTACAGGTAGTTATTTGGCGTTGAGGGGGAACAAAATAGAAACAAAATAAAATTATCATTCATCTACAATTATATTAATGTGCATATATACAGGACACATCAATCATTTGTAGAAGGCATAGATTGCTAATTGTACATTTCTATGGAGTGGGCATTCATTTCCTATTAAATGCATATTATAGAAGGTATTGTTCCACATTACTTTCTGTTAATATCATTGTCTTTGTATTCTGTATTGTTTGTGATAACTTGTGCAAGAAACCCTATTGAGTAACTGTTGGGCATGTGTGTCCTTCTAAACAACTATATTAAGACAAAATTTCCATGCAATTTGATTGGTAAGTTCCTGCACAGTGTATACTTATCATAATAATTTTTTTTGTATTATGCATACTCCTTAGAGTAGGCATAACACAAACATATTATTTTACAGTATATAAACTGGTGTACTTTTCTACCCAATGTAAATTACTTACATTAATACAAAAAGGTTGTTTAGCTTAGATAGTGTGTATTTTTGCCTTTGCAAATGTATAGTGTGTATGAGTTTCGCCCACAAAACACACAGTCACTACCCTTTACAGTGTATCCTGTGAAGTACTTTGAGATGTCTTAAATACATGATAAGGCGTTGTGTCAAATGCAAGGATTATTATTGTTATTATTAGTAGTATTATCACTAACCACTATACAACAGGACTTCCTAAATAATGAATTCCATTGTCAGATTCCACACAGCAGTCTACAATACAGCAAACTTACAATTACTTGCATGTATGCATGTTTGCATAAAATAATTTTAGTGTAAAATATAGCAGTCCTAGTATATATGTTTAAATGCTGAAACTCACTGCACGGGGTGGCAGGCCAAGCACATCTGGAACTTGACAGCTGTGCAAAGCCTGCTTTCAGCTTTGTGCTCCCAACCATGCTGCAAGAAAGACTATCTCCAGACAGGCATGATTTTCTCTCTCTCTGTCCACAGGCGAAAACTTTTTTTTTCTTTTTAAGTATCTCGTTCAAAGTATTCCCAACACTTTGGACAACGCACTATTCTGAAGCATCTGTCTCTTCAGATGATGAAGCCTCGAGGTCAGACTGCTTTATCTTAAACCCATTCACTCTGGAGTTCAACAAATTGAAAGGGACAAGACTCACTTGTTCTCCAAACGACGCCCTCTACAGACAAATACCAGCAAATGGCATTTATACAGTGCCTTTCACGTCGAGATGACTGTCAAGGGTTTGCACTCAAGCTGTTGGTTGAAATCAAAAAGGGGTGGGGGGTGGATGACCAAAGGAACGGTCAAAGAGGAAGGTCTTAAGATGGGCCTTGATGGAGGGAAGGGAGGAGGTGAGGCAAAGCAACAGAGGGAGCATTCATTCGAATTCACCAGATCACAAGAATAGAAATGCAATATACATGGCATATGGCTATAGATCCAGTATATTACACTCTGACTCCGTATATTACACACAGGTCCAATATATTACACACTGACATACGGTATTACATACTGACCCAATATAATTCACAGTTGTATTGTATCCACACTCTATTTCACATCTATAGATAACCGTATTCCATTGCACAAGCTGTATTGTACTCAGACTCTGTATTTCACAGCAGTATTGTACACATTCTGTATTACATTGCTGTAGTACAATGGCTGGTGGGTTGCCCCTGAAATGACGAAGTCAATCAGCTTGTCCAGTAAACACAGAATGTTTTGATAATGTTTACATCTGATTGATGTTAAAGTGATGCCTCAAAACTGGGTGCTTTGACATCTAATCTAAATAGTCCTTTCGGGATCTGTAGCTTTCTGCAGAATGTGGTGTTCCAAAGACAAGATAATGTGATTAAATTAAACCCTGTGGAAAAAAAAGATTATTTAATTTGGTCAGATTAAAATGTAATGCAAAAGAGGATTTATATAGCAATGCAATATTACTTCTGATGTTATAGGGAATCCAAGATGCTTAAGAAATATTTTGCTTTTGTATCTGTCAGTATTTTACACTACTAGAATTTACAGCAGAATAGTTTTAATTTGCTGCATCTATTTTTTTAACTACAATAATTGTACTTGCAGTTTGGCAATAATGCCTTATCGTGTTGTCGAGGTGTCTCAAAGCACCTCACAGGTTATACTCTAAAGTGTAGTGACTGTGAATTTTGTAGGAGTACTAACATATTTAACAAAGATCACAAGTGCTGTAGTCAGTGTTAATGGTGTCTAGACAGAGTACCATTGCTGTGGTCAGTGTAGTGAAATGGTATGGTAATTTAATCAGATTATTGTCTCTTTGGAGCACTGCACTACAGATCCCGATTAGTTGCCAAAGTGCCCAGTTCTGTGGCATCACTTTAATATCAATTGGACAAATATATTGTGGGGAGGAAGAGACAAACATTTGAGATTGTAAGAATCAGAGAGCCTTTCCAAAGGAGTAAAGAAGTGTTGAACTAATCTGGGGGAAAAGAGGCAAATAAGTGGAGTGCTCTAGCATACTGGTTAGAGCACTCGCCTCGCAAGCGAGAGGACATAGGTTTGATTCCTGGGCAGGACGAAACCTTAGGCAAGTTTCCTTACTACACACGCCTCTGTTTACCTAGCAGTAAGTAGGAACCTGGTTGTTAGTTGATGGGTGGATCGCTTTCCAGCGGTCATAATCCATTCCAAAAAAAAATAATAATAATTCGGTCACTCAATCCATGACTCTTTGTGGGACACCAACTGTGCTCAATAGCTGCCCCGTTTCGTCATAAAGTATAGTCATTAACTTTTTACAGTTTATTCTGTGAAGCACTTTGAGACATTTCAACAATGTGAATTGTTGCAAGGATCTATCAAATGCAAGGATTATTATTAAAAATGGATGTTATGAGATTGTGGATTTGAGTCAGATTCTGTGTATCAAGGTCCGTGAGGTGACATCCTACACAGTTGTAAGTGTCTGAGGGTAAAGCAAAATGTTGAATAGATGGTATGCTGATAACATTGCTTACACATGCAGATCCCAGTAGAGAGAGGGTGTGGGAGAGAAGGACAGAACCAAAGAAAAAAGAGACAGAAGAGGAGAGAAAATTAAAGATAGCGACTGAGAGAATTAAAGAATGAGATAGACTCAGAAAAAAAGTGTGCGAGTGAACAGCAACAACAAAATTACATTTTTGTATAGCGCCTTTCACATTGAGAGGACATCCCAAGGCACTGGACAGTCAGAGTTTCAGACCCAAGCTGGGGGTTGGGATAGGGGAGGGTGGAGGGCAGGGTGGGAAGCAGGGTGATCGAAAGCACGGTCGAAGAGGAGAGTCTTGAGACAGGTCTTGAAGGAGGCAAGGGAGGGGGCGAAGTGGAGGGACTGTGGAATGGAGTTCCAGAGGGTGGGGGCAGAGTGGCAGAAGGCCCGCCCGCCAATGGTGGGGTGGACAAGGTCGGGGAACGTGAAGCAGGCTGGAGCCCGCTGAGCAAAGGGTGTGGGCAGGATAGTTGGGGGTTAGGATGTTGCAGAGGTAGGGGGAAAAATAATTAGGTAGAGAAGGGTAGGTAGTTGACAGTGATTACAAGTAGTATTGGGCAGAGAAGGGAATGATTACCTGCAAATAAACTAATCACAAGGTTCAGACAGTGCCTTAAATCAACAGAGTATCTCTCAGTCAGCTGATTGGTATCCTACAGTTTATTCTCTGTAATCGATTCCTCCCATCTTTACTTTGAAATATATGGTGATTCTGTGTGGGGAAGGGAAAGATGACCAAAAGCACGGTCAAAGAGGTAGTTCTTGAGCTTGTGATATAGAACCTTAAGCCATGGAGGCATCCCAAAGCGCCTCACAGTATTACCTGCAAAGTGTAGTGACTGTGTACTTTGTAAGCCAGCGCAGCATCCAATTGGTGACTAAATCATCTTCTTTCTCAGGAGCTGAAAACTCCAAATTGTTCAATTGCATCCTCCTTCCCTCTGCAATCTTCCCTTCCTCTGACTCTTAAAATCCAAAATTTTCACTTTAGGATATTTACTCTGCAGTACTGGCTTAAAATGAGTCCAACATCCTAACCTTAATGAGTCTTCCAGATAACCTATTTCAGACGTAAATTGCTCTTGTTGTGTCCATTAGGCACGTAGCTTAGTGGTTAGAGCACTCGCCTCGCAAGTAAGAGGACCTGGGTTAGATTCCTGGGTAGGGCAAAATGTTGGGCAAATTTCCTTACTCCACACACCTCTGTTTACGCAATTGGCTGCTGCGTTTCGCTCACAAAATATGCGGTCCATTCACATTACAGTATATTCTGTGAAACGCTTTCTGAGACGTTTCGAAGATGTGAAAAGGCGTTACATCAAATGCAAGGATTATTATTATTATTAGATTGTGAATCACAACAAACACTTTTTGAAACACCTCATTTTAAGAGTTAGATAATAGAATAGCCTTCAAATCATTCACTCGGTGTAATGTGGAGCTCCTCGACTATTTAATTTAATTTAGTTATACAGCACGGAGTCACTGGTGAGCTTCCCTATAGCTCTTTGATATGTGATGACAACACCCATTCCGATGGAGTAAAGATCAGGGATATAGAGCAATAATGGACAACCGATTAGCAGGAAGCAGTAAGTCAATGTTAGAGTGAATCAGGCTGGTTACACAGCACTGAGGAAGGAGTCGATTCAGATCACTGTGCAGGTTCCAGCCCTCCCACTGGAATGATATACTCCAGTCCCATTCCCCTGCTCTTCCTCCAGGACAAATAAAGAGATGGTATTTTACAGATATATTTTCATATAAAGTACTGTTGTCATTGTCACAAAAGAGCAACTTTTTAAAGAAAAATATACAGCTCAAAAAAAACATAAGCAGTTAACAAACCGTAGCCTAACTTATCAATAAGATGAGATGTGGGAGATGCTATTGTAATAAATTGTTATTTTAAAACCTTTCTGCCTGTCTCTTTGTCACGACGGGTTCATTGGCAAGATTGATCTATAAAAGTGACTGGATGAATAAAGGGGTCAGCGTTTAATTTGCTAACCCCAAGTCTTGCTCCAGCAGCAGTAATTACAATGTGGATCCCTACTTTTCATCTCATTTCAGGGCTAGCATTGATGGCCCATCTATTAAAGCTGAGAGAGACTGTCACCACTTGGGAAACACCTAGTTAATTCGTAATAACAAGGAATAAAAAAGTTTTGCCCAATGCCCTGTGACTGACTGACTGATATAGCCATCCAACACCTGAACTTTGATCATGGCTTGTTTAAGGTTTAGAGTTAATACTCATTTGATTACTGTTGTAATGGCTCTAAAGGCAGGGAATGCAGACTAATGAATCCCACCGTGTGGGTCGATACCTTTGCCTCAAGGTTAGGATTGAAGTAGTCACCATTAAGCACGAATGCCAATATATGCCGGGGATATATGTAGTGCAGGGAACCCACTGCCTTGTTCTCAGTCAGTATTTGTGTGCCTCCAAGTGCAGGCATGTCTGTATGTTTCTACTCGTGAGCAAGCTGGCTTTCTGTGTGGGGTGCCTATTATATATCTGGGTGTATGTTAGTGCATAGATTTGTGTATGTTTATTTTTGTTTATTTGCTTGTATATATATCCAGATATGTGTGTCTGTATGAGTAAGTATATATTTGTGTGTTGTCTATTTTTGCTGTGTCTATGTAGTTTGTGTATGTGTCTATATGTTTGCGTATATATAAATGTATATATTGGTGTGTATGTATATACTGTGTGTGTGCATCTGTATGTCTATATCTGTACTCAAACATTAGCCTATGTGTATATATATATTATATATATATATATTTGTGGGTGTCTGTATATGTTTGATTGTGTGCATATTTATCTGTGTGTGTGTGTGCATCTATATGTATGTATCTGCATTTAACCACTTATGTATATATATTGTATATGTATATACATAGATAAACACACAATACAAATATATGTGGGTGTCTGTATATGATTGACTGTGTGTCTGGTTCTGTATGTTTGTGTATATTTTTGTGTATGCGTATCTATTTGTCAGCACCTGTGTCTTTCTGAGTTGACATGCAGGTGATAGGATATCTGTGCAGATACATATCTACATCAGCGTGGAGATCTTCCTGTCTCTCGAAATGTTTCTCGCTTCCGGTGTCCTGGTCAACAATCCCTCCCAAAATAAAAAAATATGTGGTTACTCACTCCATGGCTGGTTGTCTGACAATGCAGTGTCCAAACTGCTGCGTTTTGCTCACAAGATACATAGTCACTCCACTTCACTTATATCCCTTGAAGCGCTTTGAGACACTTCAAAGGACATTCAGTAAAGTGGATAAGGCGCTCTATCAAATGCAAGGATTATTATTATTAATAATGAAACCTTTTTTTTGATCTTGCCACCTGCATTGTGTTGATGTACTTCACCAACCGGACTGAAAACGTGTCCCACTTAGAATGCAATAACTGATGCACTGGCTACACACAGTGCTGTGTTCCATTTACAAGTCAGTGCTCTCAAAGTGCCATATTCCCAGCAGGATTAATATTAGGAAATTAAGAGTGGAGAAAGGAGAGCATCCTTGCATCCAATATGAAGCACAGTTACACCACCTTTGGAGACTGGCGTTAATTCACTGAAATGTATCCTGCGGGCCGCTCCTCTCAGGCAATTAGTTTGCTCGTATAGAAAGAGAATAAACAATGTCACAATATATTGTATTTTCTGCCCCTCATCTCTGCTAAATCTGTTATGTATTGAAGGCAGGATTTAACTCCCTGAACAGCTGCAACAATGTAAGTAGATTATAAAGGACCAGGGAGCAAAGAGAAGGGGAGCGAGAGAACGAGCACACTATTTCTCCTCCACATGTGCAGTATTGTCCTGACATAGGGAGACATTGAGTGTACAGGCACTTGAAGATATAAAAGACACCCATACACACACGCATGCATGCACACACACCCACGCACACACACACACACAGACGCACATACTGCCATCTATCCGTATGTGCATGCAAACACAGTAGCACACCGTGTCTAACCAAGGGAGTATCCAACCATTACAAGCCAAGGATACTTGATGCCCATGCACGTGTGAAATAATTTTAATTTCCACAAATGGGACAGGGAGGTTTCACACAAAGGATACTGGAAATCTGGAACTCGCTCCCCCAAAAGGCTGTGGATGCTGGATCTATTCATAAAGACTGAGGTGGATAGATTTTTGATAAGAGTAAGGGTACTTTGTCGGTGTGGAAATATAGAATGTGTTTCTATAATTCGGGGACTAATGCACAGTCAGAGACAGAGAGAAAAAAGTGTGTTCAGAGCCTCCCCACCCACACACACTGAAAGGCGCAATTCGACCTACAGACTTACACAGAGTGCATCGCAAATCAGCCAGCTATGTGGTGTGCTAACATTTCAACAAGTGAGTCCTACAATAACTCACAAGTGATGAAGTTAGTAGCAGATGATGGCAGGGAGTACAGACAGGTTGTTCACATGGACTGGGGTTCAAGAAAATATGAGGTGGCCCTCAGAGATTTCAGGTTGATCTCTAACAGACACTTGGGAAAGACTGTGATCACAAGTGGAAGTAATCACCCAGCCCCCAGTGGGAGAAAGGAGTCAAAGTGTCTTAGAAGAGGAGATGGGGCAATATTACTGGTAAGCACTCTGAGACATTACCTATGTGAAGGGCACTATATAAATGCATTGCTGTGGCACCATTGTCTTAATTTTACCCTCC